TTGGAGATAGCCATTGCCTGATAATTTTACTTGCCACTTGTCAGCTTAAGCCTGAATATTGTCCAGATCTTGTTGCATTTGAACATGGACTGCTTCAGTGTCTGAGGAGTCGCAAATGGTGCTGAACATTATGCAGTCATCAGCAAATATACCCACTTCTGACTCATGATGGCGGAAAGGTCATTGATGAAGCAGCTGAAGGTAGTTGAGCCTTGTACACTACCTGGAGGAACTCCTGCAGAGGTGTCTTAGAGTTGGCTGACTGCCAACAACAACAACAACAACAGCTTCCTATGTGCCAGGTATAACTCTCCAATTATACTCTCTCTGACCACTGATTCCAGTTTGCTAGGGCTCCTTGATGCTATACTCGGTTAAGTGCGGCCTTGATGTCAAGGGCTGTCACTCTCGTCTCACCCCTGGAATTCAGCTCTTTTGTCCATGTTTGAACCAAGGCTGTAATGAGGTCAGGAGCTGAGCGGCCTTGGCAGGACCCAAACTGAGCTTGTTGATTTGCTCCCGAGCTGGCGTGTTCTTGTTCAGATGTTTAGTCACCATGCTAGGTGACATCATCAGTGGAGCCTCCGATGAAGCAATGTTGGAACTTACTTCGCTTGGAATTTATACTGTCCGGTCCGCTTAGGTGAGTACTGTCATTTCTGGTTTTGATCTGTATGGGTTTGCATATGGGGTCCAATGCATTATGGTGGAGAACCACGCCACTAGGAATTTCCGTGCATGTCTGTGTTTGGCTTGGGCTACTATGGTTACCTTGTCCCAGTTAAGCTGATGGCCTTCATTGTTGGAGTGTACCAATATTAAGGAACGTTCATCGTGCCGTTTTGCTGCTAGCTGATGTTCATGTATTCTGATGGCTAGTTTCCTTCCTGTCAGTCCAATGTAATGTTTGTGGCAGTCGTTTCATGGTAATTTGTAAACCACGTTGGTTCTGCATGTTGTGGGAACAAAACGTCTGAACGAGAACAAGCCAGTTCGGCGAGCAAGTCAACAACTTCGCCCACAACCCGAGCTACAGATCTTTGCCAAAACTTTGAGCAGGTGCTATTTGATAGTACAGTTGATGACACCATCCATTACTTCACTGATTGAGAGTAGACTGATGGAGCGGCAATTGACTGATTTGGATTTGTCCTGCTTTTCTGTACAGGACATACCTGGACAATTTTCCAAGTTGTTGGGCAGATGCCAGTATTGTAACTGTACTGGAAGCGTTTGGCTAGGAAGCTGCAAGTCCTGGACCATAAGTTTTCAGGACTATTGCCAGCATGTTATCAGGGTCCTTAGCCTTTTCATTATCCAGTGTCTCTACCCGTTTCTTGACATCAAATGGAGTGAATTGAAGTGGCTGAAGACTGATCTCTGTGCTGCTGGGGACCATTGGAGGAGGCTGAGATGCATCATCCACTTGGCATTTCTGGCTGAAGATTGCTTGCAAATCCTTCAGCCTTATCTTTTGCACTTATGTACTTGGCTCTTCCATCATTGAGGATGGGGAGACTTTTCCTGCGCTGAAATGTTTAATTGACCCCTACCATTCATGACTAGATGTGGCTGGATTGCAGATCGTAGATCTAATCCATTGGTTGTGGGATCACTTAGCTCTATCTCTTGCTGTTTATGCTAGAAGTCCTGTTTAGCAGCTTCACTGGGTTGACTCCTCATTTTTAGGTCTGCCTGGTGCTGCTCCTGGCATGTTCTCCTGTGCTCTCCGTTGACTCTCCCTGGCTTGATGGATAATGGTGGAGTGGGGGATATACCAGGCCATGAGATTGCAGTTTGTGGAGTACAATTCTGCTGCTGTTGATGGTCCACAGTGCCTCACCGATGTCATGAATTGTTATATCTATTCAAAGTCTGTCATGGATAGACGCTTCTGCATCTGGTAAGGATGAGATCAAGTGTGTTCCCTTGTATTAATTCCCTCACGATCTGCGACAAGCCTAGTCTAGTCCTTTCAGTCCTAAGCAGCTCGATCAGTAGTGCTGCTGCTAAGCCACTCTTGTTGGTGGACACTGATAACTCTCACCCAGAGTACGTTTGCACCATTGGCACGCTCAGTGCTTCCTCCAAGGGTTGCTCAACATGGAGGAGTACTGACTCATCAATTGAGGGAGGACCATAATCTGGTCATCAGGAGGTTTCCTTATCCATGTTTAACCCAAAGCCATGAGACATCATGGAGTTAAATGTAACTGTTATGACCAGGGAGCTTGCAGATCACACGAATATTTGGCAGGTGATAAATATTAAGGAGGGCATAACCTGCAGAAGGATATCAATGGACTGGACAGATGGGTAGAAAAGTGACAAATGGAATTCCTCCCAGAAAAGTGAGAGATAATGCATTCAGAGAGGGCTAACAAGGAATACACTGTGAGTGGCAGACCCTGGAAGGTAATGAAGATCAAAGGAACCTTGACGTGCATCACCATAGATCTGTAAAATGTCATAGGGCAGGAAGATAAGATGGTTAAAAAGGTACATGTGATGCTAGCCTTTAGTAGTCATGGCATAAAATACAAGAGCAGGGAGGTTATTACAGGAGCTTTATAAATCGCCTCACCTTCTAACTCAAACGCTTTAGTCTAAGTAGCATCCTAGTAAATATTTTTCTGCACTCTTTCTAGTTTAATAATATCCTTTCTATAGTAGGCAACCACAATTACATGCAGTACTCCAAACATGGCCTTACTAACATCTAGTACAGCTGCAACAAGATGTCCCAGCTCCCGAACTTGGTGCTCTGACCGATGAAAGCCACCTTCACAATCCTGTCCAGCTGTGACTCCAGAACCAGAGGTCAACGTTTAAACATGCAGGGTAGGCTATTTAAAACTGAGAGAAGGAGAAATGTTTTCATCCAGAGAGTGGTGAACCTGTGGAATCCTCTGGCACAGAAAGTAGTTGAGGCCAAAACTTTGAATGTTTTCACGAAGTAGTTCTTAGGTCTAAAGTGATCAAGGGTATGGGGTGACAGTAGGGACAGCATCCTGAGTTGGGTAATCAGCCATGATTGTAATGAATGGCAGAGCAGGTTCGAAGGGCCAAATGGCCTATTCCGTGATGCTATGTTCTATGTTTTTATGTGATAGAGGTATCTTAGGTTATGAAACATGATGTGAATGAAAGCACTTTTTCCATTAGTGGATGAGGTCAATAACGAGGGAGCGTAGATTTAAGTTAGGTAGAAGGCAAAAAGGAAATGTTAGAAGAAATGTTTTCACCCTGAGGGCAGTGGGAGTCTGGAATGCAGCCTGAAATAGTAATTAAGGCAGCAGCTCTCATGACATTTGAGCAGTATTTAGGTATTAAATTGTGTTTCCATACCCTCCAGGGCAGCACCAGTGTGTGCCATCTAGAAGATGCGGTGCAAAAATTCACCAAGGCACTTTAGACAGCACTTTCCAAACCCACAAACACTTCCATCAAAAACTACAAGGACAGTGGATATGTGGAAGCGCCACTCACCATTCTGACTTGGAAATGTATCGCTGTTGCTTCACTTTCATTGGACCAAAATCCAAGATCTTCCTGCTGAATAGCATTGTCAATTTACTTCCACCAACTGGACTGCAGTGGTTCAAGAAAGCTGCCTACTGCCACCTTCTCACGGGCAACATGAGATGGGCGATAAATGCTGTTCCATCCAGCAATGGTCTCATCTATTGATGTAATTTTTAAAAAAAACTCTAGTTTGAGTCCTGAATGTATGTTAAACAAAAAATAGTCAAATGATAAGAGAACGTATGGAAATAAAATAACATTGAGTGAGAAGAGAGTAGATGGCAGTGATTAAGTGGAGCCATTTCTTACATCTCTGCCTGCAGTGGTCTGCAGCTTGTAAAAGACAATGATGTGAATAACATTTCTCTAAATGAAAACTAAGAGAATGGCTGGTTCCACACAATTAATGACCTGCTAACCAAATGGCACACTTAGAAATTGCATATTTCAAGAAATGTGTTCCTGCAATTTCAATAACACTACTAAGAAAAAGTTAAAGCTTCACTTCTATTTTGTAACTTAAGACTCTGAATAGTGAGATGACAAATATTTAACCAAAGGATATGATAAATGCTAAATGAAATAAACAACTCCTTATTCCTTTAGTTACCCTGGAATGTGGCACCTTTATTGTAATCCAGGTTAAATATTTGTTCGGTAATATCAGTTCCACTGTTTTGATGCAGGAATATCATTTTAATTCAAGGTAGGCTGGCACTGTCATTATTTAAATTTGATATGGGATCCAACAAACATCGCAAAGCTGGGCCCAAAATGTCATCTATACATTGGATCACATCATTGTTTCTATATGCGGGATTTAATAAAACTGTCTAATGACTGCAGAGTCAGCAGTTCTGTACCACAGTACTACACTATATAATGGTGGGGAGCAAAATGTGAGCTTTATAAACATGGTTGTTTAAAGGTTTACAACAAAACGGAAAATAGTTAAAATGTATCTTGTCTATGTGACAAAAAGGTCCATTCATTTAAAGAAAACAGAAAATATTATAACATTATTGAAGTTAGCCTTGAGAGAGATATTTCTGTTGATGTGCCATTAATATTGGTGGTTGTTTCAGAAGCTATTGTTTAGAACAAATTCCATGTGACATCACTAGAGGGCTCTGTGACAATGGTTGTAGATTGGCCGCTCTCAAAGGTAACAAAAGGTATTTCAGCTCACAAAATACAGCGATCTGATTGGTGGACAGGTATCTGATCTTTTACCACTGATGTACTGTACCACAGTAAAAATGTACAGCTTACACATTTATTGTAGATTCTTATTTGATTTAAAATTTGAAATATGGTTACACTTAGGAAATAAAAGGATGGGAGATGTTAAGTATGTTCTTGTTTAATAGCAAATTAGTCCCAAATTAATAATATAAACCAGATCATAACAGAAAGAATAAAACTGATGTGTTTTATACATTATCCTAATTTTAAGCACTGATTCTTCCATTTAGGTCAAGTGGGCTGAACAACAAGATATCCATGAAGTGGAAAAAAGGGACAAAGCTCTTTTGCCTGATCTTCCATTCCTTTCCAAAGAGTATAGCATCAGCTCATTCTTTGAAACACTAGGTAAGTAATAAATACCCAAACTCTGTCATACAGATGATATACATTAAGAGTTTCCCATCGTAAGAGCCATAAAGGTTCATTAAATATATATCTGAAGAAAAGAAAAAAGCAAAGAGTTTTTTCACAATGGTGAAGAAGGAGAGATTTCTTTTTTCCAATAGAGGTTCTTTTTCAATGGAGTTTATGTTTGTTGTTTCAATCCACAGTGATTTTTTTTCACTAAAAAATTCACATTTTAAAAAACCGTGAAGGAGAGATTATTCATATGTGGAGCTTGTGGCAAGACCTACAGGTGGGCAGCTCTGGAGTGAGTTTTTTATAATCTGGAGATTGAAAGCTGACTGTTGGATTATTTGAGGACAAGTTTTTTTTTTCATTCAGCTATGTGTTTGATTTCTTTTTAATATTTAAATTTTTTTCCTTTTTTTTTTGCATGCTTAATTTTAAATCTGTGGGTAAGGAAAGGTAGTTTATTTTTATATATAAGGTGCTATTGAGATTTGCTTCTTTTTAGGCTTAATGTCACTGCATACAAGAGACACAGTGCAATGACTAGTAGATTTAGAGAAGCAATTGCACAGCAGGATCAGTCAGATAGATGGTTGACTGTCAGGAAAGTTAAGAAGGTAGTACAGAAGTCTACTGTAGCTATTCCTCTCTTAAACGGATATTCTGTTTTGGGTACTGTTGAAAGAGAGTCTCTTAGAGGAAAACAGAAGTAGTAGTCAGATCTTAGGCACTAAAAATGAATCTTATGTTAAATGGGATTTGTCAAGATTTAAAAGAATGTTTATTATAGGGGCTCTCCTGTCAGGGGCACAGACAGGAGATTCTGTGGCAGTGAGCATGAATCTAGGATAGTATGTTGCTTTTCTAGTGCAAGGGTTAAAGACGTCTCAAAACATCTGAAGCATATTGTCAAAGGGGAGAGTGAGAAGCTGGAAGTTGTCCCACACATTGGTAGGAATGACATTGTTTGGGAAAAACTTAAAGCTTTGCAGAGCTAATATAAGAGGTTAGGTACAAGGTTAAAAAACAGAACATCAAAAGTAGGAATCTCTGGTTTACTTCCAGTGCCAAGTTCTAATGAAGGAAGGAATAAAAGGACAGGGGAGATGAATCAGTGGCTGAAGAGGTGGTGCAGTATAGAGGGATTCAGTTCTTGGAGCATTTGGGAACTCTTCTGGAGTAGAAAAGATCTGTTCAAAAAGGATGGGTTTCACCTGAACCAGAAAGGGACCAAAATCCTGGCGGGTAGATTTGCTAGTTCTATTTCAGGAGCCTGTAAACGTTTAGAGGCCAGGGGTGGGAGCTTCCTAAGTAACAGTGAAAATAGAAAGAAAGGTGAAGGTGGTTCAGATTCAGAAAAGAGCAAGTTTATTGAAAAGACAGACAAGAGCAATACGGAAAACGAAGAAACTCTGAAGAATTAAACTGTATCTGTTTCAATGCATGAGGTCTTACAGGTAAGGCTGATAGCCTCAGAGCATGTTTGGATACATGGGACTGAGATGTCGTAGCTGTTACAGAAACTTGGCTGACAGAAGGAGAGGCCTGGTAGTTCAATGTTCCAGATTTTAGATGCTATAGGAAGGGTAGAAAGAGAGACATGAGAGGAGGGGGAGTGGCCTTTTTGATTAAGGAAAGCATTACTACTGTAATTAGAGAAGGTATTTCTGAGGAATTGTTTCGTGAAAATATATGGGTTTAAATTAGAAGTAAGAAAGGGATGATCTCCTTGATGAGATTGACTATTGGGGGGGACCTAAAGTACAGAGGAAAATTGAGAAGCAAATATGTAGAGAGAGCCCAAATATATGTAAGAATACTAAGGTTGTAATAGTAGGGAATTTTAATTTTCCAAACATTAACTGGGACTTCCATAGTATTAAAGGTTTGGATGGTGAAGAATTGTTAAACGTGTTCAAGAAATTTTTTTTTTTTTTCAATATGTAAATATTCCTACAAGAGAAAGAGCAAAACTTAACCTTCTCCTGGGAAATAAGGCAGGGCAAGTGACTAAAGTGTTTGTAGGGGAACACTTTGGAACTAGTGATCATAATACTATTAGTTTTAAAATAGTTACTGGAAAGTTCAAAGTACTTAATTGCAATAAGGCAAATTTAAAGGGTACGAAGCAAGAACTTCCAAAAGTTGATTGGAGTGGACTGTTCGCAGGTAAAGGCACGACTGATAAGTGGGAGGCCTTCAAAAGTGTGATAATGAGAGTTCGGAGGCATTATGTTCCTGCTAGAGTGAAGGGTAAGGCTGGTAAGATTCGGAAACAGTAAATGAATAAAGGATATTGAGGTTCTCGTCAAGACCAAAACTGAATCGTACATTAAATATAGACATGTGGGATCAAGTGAATCTCTTGAAGAGTATTAAGAGTGTAGGGGCATTCTGAAGGAAATCAGGAAGCTGGAGAGGGGCTATGCAATTGCTGAGGAAGATAAGGTTAAAGATAATAAAAAAAATTCTACAAATACATTAAGAACATGAGAGTAACTAGAGACATCAGGACTCCTTAAAGATCAATGAGGTTATCTTTGTGTTGAACCTCAGGAGATGGAAGAGATATTAAATGAATATTTCACGTCAGTTTTTACTGTTGAGAAAGAAATGGAGGCTAGAGAGTGCAGGAAAATATTGATGTTTTGAAAGCAGCTCACATTAGAGAAGAGGAAGTGCTGGAGGTCTTTGAAAACATAAAGATAGATAAACCTCCAGGACCTGATGAGTGTATTTCAGGACTTTGTAGGAAGTTAGGGAGGAAATTGCGGGGTCCCTAGCAGAAATATTTTTATCATCCGTAAACATGGGTGAAGTAGTGGAGGACTGGAGGGTGACTAATCTCATTCCATTGTTTAAGTAAGGCTGTAAGGAGAAGCCTGGAGACTATTGACCTGTGAGTCTGACATGAGTGGTGGCTAAGTTGTTGGAGGTGTTTCTTAAAAATAGGATTTATATGCATTTGGAGAGGCAAGGATTGATTAAGGATAGTCTGCAATCATGTCTGTCAAACTTGATTAAGTTTTTTAACCAAAAAGATTGATGAGGGCAGAACAGTAGATGTTGTTTTCTTGGACTTTAGTAAAGCCTTTGACAAGGTTCCACATGGTAGACTAATTAGTAAAGTTAGATCACATGGGATTCAGAGTGAGCTTCCTAATTGGTTGAAAGATTGGCTTGACAGTAGGAGACAGAGGGTAATGGTGGAGGGTTGTTTTTCAGGCTAGAGACCTGTGAACAGCAGTGTTCCACAGGTATTGATGTTGAGTCCACTTTTGTTTCTCATCCAAATCATTTATATAAATGACAATATAAGAGGCTTGATTAGTAAGTTTGTAGATGAGACCAAAATTGGTGGTATAGTGGACAATGAAGAAGGTTGTCTAAGAGTACAAAGAGCTCTTGATCAATTGGGTCAATGGGCAGAGGCGTGGTAGATGGAGTTGAATTTGGATAATGTGAGGTATTGCATTTTGGTAATACAAACAAAGCCAGGACTTACACAATTAATGATTGGGCCCTGAATAGTGTTGTACAACAGAGAGACCTACGGGTTTAGGCACATAATTCTTTGAAGTTTGCGTCACAGGTAGACAGGCTGCTTACAAAGGCATTTAGCACGTTTGCCTTCATTGCTCAGACCTTTGAGCAGAGAAGTAGGGATGCCATGTTGAGGTACAGGACGTTGGTGAGACCTGTTCTGAAGTACTGTATGCAATTCTGGTTGTCCTGTTCTGGAAGGATATTATTAAACTGGAGAAGGTTCAGAAAAGATTTACCAGGATGTTAGTGGGAATGGAGGGTTTGAGATATAAAAATAGACCGGAAAGGCTGGGACTATTTTCAGTGGAGTGTAGGAGGTTGAGGGGTGACCTTATAGAAGTTTATAAAATCATGAGGGGCATAGATAATGTGCATGACTATGATCTTTTCCCGAGAGTAGGGGATTTCAAAACTAGGGGGCATATTTTTAAGGTGAGAGGAGAAAGATTTAAAAAAGACAAGAGGGGCAACTTCTTATTTTACACAGAGAGTGGTTTATGTGTGGAGTGAGCTGCCAGAGAAAGTAGTAGATGCAGGTACAGTTACAATGTTTAAAACACATTTGTGTAAATTCATGAATAGGAAAGGTTTGGAGGGATATGGGCCAAGCATAGGCAGGTGGGGCTAGTTTAGTTTTGGAACATGATTGGTATGGACTAGTTGGACCAAAGGGCCTGTTTCTGTGCCGTATGAGTCTATGATTCTATCTTACATTATTAAATCTAGTCTCTGTTACAGTTTTTCAATGGTGCTGTTATCGTAACACTGATCTGGTTCCAGTTTCACATTGTTCTTGATGTACTTGCAAATTCTTAGGGGCAGTTGATATCTGTCCATTTTTACTCAGTGATCCTCATCTTGAATGCAGCTTCGATGAGTGTCAAGTTTGTACCCAAAACTTTGTTCTTCCATTTTCTATAGTGTCTGGAATCACAAATTTTAACCAGTGCATTTTCACCAGAATTTCAGAATGTCAGCTATGTTTTAAATCTTTGTACGTAAAATCAGGAATTCCTTTCTTATGGTTAGAGCATGTTGACTTATACTGCTTTGACCTAGTTTTTTTAAACTTAATGTATTCTCCTCAGATAGTCCTATACTCATTGGAATTTATGAAGATGAGAAGTGATCTGATTGAAACTTCTAAGATCTTGAGGGGATTAAAAAGAATAAATGCTGGGATGATGTTTTCTCTCATGAGGGATCCGAGAACTGGAGGATGCAAATTGAAAATGAGGCTTTGGCTATTTAATCAGAGATAGTAGGAACTGCAGATGCTGGAGAATCCGAGACAACAAGGTGCAGAGCTGGATGAACACAGCAGGCCAAGCAGCATCATAGGAGCAGAAAGGCTGACGTTTCGGGCCTAGACCCTTCATCAGAAAAGGGGGAGGGGAAGGGGTTTCTGAAATAAATAGGGAGAGTGTGGGAGGCGGATAGAAGAT